AGACAACCCCGTAACAATATGCGTTTTGTACTGCTGTTACACAGCACAAAACGCATAAAAAAGTACAAAAGGATATTGAAAAGAAATAAAAAGCAGCTAAATTCAAAATAAAGTCCAAAAATTTAGCCTGTTCAACAACTGCTGTATTTTCAAACAAAATTTTCGACACAACCCTTTAAGTAATGTGAAAATGGCAAGGAACGAAACAATGCTGTGACGAGATGAGGTTCAAACCCCGACAGCTTCAAGCATGCCAAGATGTTTAGCACGTCAAAATGTCGCATAGGTTTTTGCTGTATTCAGACATGCTAAATTTGAGTGATACGAACAAACTTCAGCTTGACTAGCGGATGTTAATGCATTAATAGCCAAGCAGCTATACAAAACACGAAAGAAAAAAACATGGAAATTCGAATTATGTCTTGAAGGCGATGGTTACTAGCTCAAGTATGAGGAATGGAATTCAACAGCCTAATATAGCTGAGCCTGGCTTGACTGAGCTTACTAGCAATATCAACAGAGCTGGTTCCTCCACACCAACTGTTCCAGCAATCTTGGTAATCCTGGTAAATCGTTGTGTACGAAATCAATAATCAATAACTGGCCAAAGCACGGGCTGCCTGTGTGAAGATGCGTTTTTTGCATGGCTCCCCGCAAATTTTTGTCGCTAACGGCACTGGTTTTTCTGGTAGATGTTTCTAGCTAAAAGAATTTCAGACTGGCTGCCAGGATTGTCAGGAAACATCCCTTCAAAACCCCAGTCTTCTATCTTCTCACTTTCCCAAGTTAGCAACTTACCCGGAAGAAACTTTCAAGGGCACGTACGTAGGTGCCACGCTTACTCGCAGATAGGGTTTGAACTCACTGATACCTACTTGGACGGAGGACACTGCCGTAAGATTTCAGCATTCTAGCTTCTCAGACCCCGAGTTATGAACTTACCCGAAAAAAAATTTGGCGCGCCCGTACGCGGGTACTACGCTCACCCGGGAGATAGGTTTCAGTGCATTAACACCTACTTGGACAGGGAACGTCACCCTAAGATTTCAGCGTTCTAGCTTCTCAGATCCCCGAGTTATGAAGTTACCCCAAAAAAACTTTGGCGGGCCCGTACACGGGTACCACGCGGGTTTTGGCATCCATTTTGGGGATTGGAGCCTGCACGTGCATGTAGATTAAGTTCCAGAAATTTCAGCTCCGCAGCTTTTATAGGTCTTGAGATGAAAGTGCGCGACAGACGCACACACAGACACACGGACATACAGACAGCCCCTCGTCAATATGCTTTTTTGCATTACATAGTAGCAAAAAATGCATAAAAATATACCTTCCCAAAAGCGATCACCGGGTCGGCATCTTGTCATATGCTCTTTGATGCACTGGTCATTCATCGATGTTAGTGCCTTGATCACATACATCAGTGGTAAATAAAACAATTCACGTCGAAACTAAACTCATTTAAGTTATTTATGGATAAAAAAACACTTGAAAAATCTGCTTGAAGAATCTTAAGCTATGTGGGACTGCGTGGCATTTGATGAATTCATATAAAAGAAT